GTCGATAGCCGATAGACTCTGAATTTCGAAGTCTCTTGTCAGAGGTAAGCCTTGGCGGCCAGTGGTGAACCGGCAATGGTTTACTATCCGGACGGCAATGGTTTACTATCTGCACGGTAATGATTTACTATGCGGCATGGCCATAGTCTACTACCCGCACGGCTTCCGGACGGCAAATGGTTTACTATCCGCAAGGCAGTAGTCTACTATCCGCACGGCAATGGTTTACTATCCGGTGCCCTGGCTGTCGGTGAGCCTCTGTGCAAGGAGGGAGAATGAAGAGGAACTTTCGACTATCGTACCATTAACAATTTATTATAGATTAGTTAAGGTAATTGAATAGGTAGATAGGATTATTTTTATTAAGCAATTTAAGATGCAGGCACCGCTAAGCTTTCTAATGAGAATTTTCTCTTTCTCCATTCCACGGGCTGTGTTTCAACAACAATCTCGAGGAGGACTGGCACCAGTTTTGGAGGACAACGCAGGAAACGGAAGGCACTCATCATTTTGCCTTTGTCGAATGGACGACGGTAAGTTTTTTTTACATTTTACTCTCTTTATTATTTTCAAATATTATTTATTTGCCATTATTTCCATTTTATAATTTTTTGCTTCTAAGATTCTAACATTCATTTACTACTAAGCTAATAAAAATAACTTGTCTACAGACTGATGAGAGGTGGGCAGTGGTGGGCGTCAGCACGTTTCAGATGGTGGTCTCATGATGATCGTTCCGATAACAACTCGAAAAAAACAACAACGACGATTTTTGAAGTATGGTTTAGTTTCGTTGTTTTTATTTTTTTCATTCATTCATTTTGTCACACAATCTTTCGTTCATCCATTAATTGACTCATTCTTTTCATTCATTGAATCATAGATTGGTTAATTAATTCATTCAATCACTCAATCATTCGCTCAATCATTTATTCGTTTGTTCTTTCGTTTTAACATTCATTTACTACTAAGCCAATAAAAAAATTTGTCTACAGAATGATCAGAGGTGGGTTGTGGTGGGAGTCAACACGTTTCATGATGGTAATCTCATGGTAAGATAAGTTGCTTCTTACTTTTTTTCAATGTCTTGTTTTTTATTTTAAAAAATTAACTTTATCTTTCAATTTTGTTTTTCAGTATCCGGTAAAATTCATTTCCTCGGTGCGTGTCAGGTGATGGTCGGTGCAATGGAGGTTCGTCCGTAGTGGGTGAAGAAGTTTCTGGAGGGTACGCGCGCGCACATTTACATACACGCACACACATAAATACAACACACACATACACAACATCCATTCATTCGGTGTCGTTGTTGTTATGTTTCTCTTCAACTTTCTATTTTCTTTACCGGACTTAATTTAATTCATAGGTAAGTTAGGGATTGAGATGAGTTGAACAACTGTAGGTAGGCTAGGGCTTAACATTAGTTAAAAAGTTTCAAGTAAAATATTAACATTAAAATAAATTAAAAGCTTCAAGTAAAATTAAAACGTTAAAATATGTAAAATAAATGAGTTGAGTTATCATTACAGGTAAGCTAGGGCCCTGAGAGTAATTTAATTGTAGGTAGGTGACTGACTACTATTCTTGCGACTTTTTAATATTTTTTTTTGTGGTGTGTTTGTTTTCGCTTTTTAGCACCACACAGCACCAACAAAACAAACTACAATTTTTTTTGTCGTCGCCTTAAATTTTACCATTTTTGAACAATCTTTTTATAATGTCTATTTATTTATTTGTAAAATGTTGACTGGTTTCTAGTTTCTTATTTTGGTTATATAATTTTTGGAGATTTCCTGATTTACTTTGTATATATGCATGCATGAATAATTTCTGTTTGGTATGTTGATTTAGTCATTATGATATGCTGTGAACTGTCCTTACTAAATATTCATGTTTCGTGATAATTATTTTTTATCGATCGATATTTTGTTATATTTGTTTGTTTAAAATCTGAACATTTTAAAAAATTGACATTTAACAAATTTTAATTTTTCGTCACTTTTCATCTTTTGATGATGTCAAATAAAAGCAACTGTTGTGTTTTTCTTTCCTTACTAAAATCTCGAATACAAACATGTACACATAAAGAGACACAGACACACATACATACAAACATACATACATACATACACGCATACATACATACTGCCATCATATATACGCAGTACAATAAACATTCATGTCATTTCTGTCAATGTATTTTAAGTATGTTATACTGTTAATCTTGTTAACTATGATGACGATCATCATCATCACAACCATCATCAACGAACAACAATAACAACAATATAATAATAATTACAGCAACAACAACAACGAAATAAAAATAGTTGTTCTCATTAGGCATTTCAAAAGCTTACATTCTTCTTTTAATACAAGCGTTATATATATATATATATATATATATATATAATATATATATATATATGTGTGTGTGTGTGTGTGTATGTGTGAGTTTGTTTGTGTGTGTGTGTGCGTGTATGTGTATTGTATATTTTTATCTATTTATTGAAACGTTATTTTTTACGCATACCCTTTGTCTCATTCTCTCTCTCTCTCTCTTTCTTACTTTATATATATATATATATACATATATATATATATATATATATATATATATATATATATATATATATATATATATACATATATGACTGGCTGGCTGGTTGGCTGGCCGGCTGACCGACCGACCGACCGACTGATTGTTTGATTGATTTATTTCATAGTATTGTATACATGAGAAAAAATCCGATTAAGCCAACCTACGGCTTCAGTAAGCCACTGTTTTTCACCTGACAAAAGCAATTTCTATATTTATATTGACAAAAATAATTGTGATATGAATATATTGATTTATTTAAAGCATTATATGTACAAAAAAGTGCTATCGTAAGAGTTCTATGAAACCCTGTAAGCCACTGCTGTAAGCCAACGTATGATTTCAGCAGCCAGTTTCTTATGAGCACCAGCAGAATGTAAAATATTCATTGAATATAATGAAGATAGTTGTTCAAATAACAATTTTGATTTATTTAGGCCGTTTATTTCTTAAGCAAACCAATTTTTAACATGATCGAATAGTGTAAAAAAAAGGGTGACTATAGTTCAATCCTACTAAGCCAGCCTTCGGCTTCAGTAAGCCACCGGATTTCACCGGACCAAAAGCAATTTTTATATTCAAATTAACAAAAATAATTTAATAATACATAATTCTATTAATCATTATTAAAATTAAATAGAATTACTTCAATGTTTTTAGCATATTAAATCAAGTAAATATTTCATTTAGCTTGCTCGTTAAATTTCGTAAATGCAATTTCGTTAGCCAACAATCCAAGCACGACAAATAACCCGACCGATAGATCGAATTGATCGATTAGTCCTATTATTCTAATTACGTGGTTTGGAGCAAGGGGAGGCATTACTGAAAATAATTAAAAGTTGAAAAAATTGAGGTTCTTTGCATATCCCTGCTTCAACCCATAAGAAGGTGTTGTGTTGTATGCTGGTAAATAGGCCTCCCCTTGGCGCTGTGTATGATGGAAGTTTACAATAAGGTAATAATTCCCTTTAATACTTATGTTATAAATTTATTCTTCAACTAAAAATATCATCCGTTATCAAACCTGAACACATATTTTTACGAAAAACATCTTGTATGTTTTGCAAAACTTATAATCCAAGGTCTCAAGTTGTAACTTAAGTACATGGAATCTGGAAATTCTCAAAAACTGTCATAAGTTCATATTATGCTACAGTTGAAATGGATAAACCCTACAACGCAAATTTTATTCACCCATAACTACACGAATTAAAAAAATATTAACTCGCTCAAACATTGTGGTAAACAACGGCATGTTAAACAAAGCAGTTAAACACTTGTAAGCATATATTAAACACTGCCAAGATGTAGCGCAGAACAGAGCTTTTCACTGGCCTCACGAACCTGCAACGTAAATGAAACAGCTATCATCATATATCTTGATTTATGGTCATCATAATTAATATAATTATTATCATAATTATAATATTAATAAGTTTCGTTGCTGGAAATTTTTTGTGGCATTTTTAGGACATTTTAAGAAGAAAGTTGGCAAACGTTTTTGTTGCTCACTCCGAAAAATTACTAACACGATTTGGACAAAATGGTTACAAAATTAGAAAAATTATCTTAAAATATGAAAAGGGAAAGAATCAATCGAACAAATTTATACAAAGAAAGAAATATAACATTACATTTTGACACACTATAACTTAATATGAATAGATAACAAACGCTATATAAAGATCTATAATTAAACGTTTAACAACAGTAATATAATAATAAAATAATAATACTAATAATAAAAATAACAATAATAAAAACGTGCGTGCACATACCTCACTGTCATTCTCGTAATTTTTATGCTGGAGTTTAGACTTGTAGCTGTTGTACTGCTCAGAGGCAGACTTGTGGTCTCCGTTGTTGAACAGGAATATTGAAAAGTTCAAACTTATCAGGGCGTCTTTGCTTTTCAATATAATTTATTTTATTTTCATTTATTACTATATTCATTATTCATTAATTTATTCATTAATTTATTCATTAATTTATTCATTAATTCATTCATTTATTCACTCACTCACTCATTCATTCATTCATTTGCTCATTCATTCATTCATTAAAACCAGAAATGACCAACTCGTCCAGCTGCAGAGCCTGCTTAAAAGCCTGCTTTGAGTTCTCCCTATCTTTCAGGTGCGATAAGGTCACTGTGCGAATTTGTTTTGTGAGAACTATATAACGGTAATGATGCAATTTATCTGCCATTTTGATCAGTTCATATAGCACTGAATAAAATCAATAATTCTATACTGTGATAAGAAAACATCAATGCCAAATATTTAAAGATGAACATACCGATGTTTACCTTTGTTCATTTATCCGCTCTCTCGCTCGCTCGTTCATTCGTTCGTTCATTCCATCCATCCATTCATTCATTCAATCAGTCATTTGTTCATTCGTTCCGTTATACCTTTCAATCACTCAAAAATCTGCCCAATGAAATACTGCTCCACCATCCATCCCACTACCTGATTAGTCAACTAACCAGCCAATAAAAAGTAGTGCAGGGCAGATTTGAACCTGAGAAACATGGCGGACGTGATGAAGTTGAATGCTGATGCGTATTGCTGGCTGTAGAGATAGATGAGGACGAGGTTCTGCGAAATGGTGCGCTCGAGGGGGCAAAAATAATGAGCCCTCTTCAAACAGCTGACCGCCTGTGTCGATAGGCGGGTGGTTTTTACCCCACCGTTATTTTAATTTTTGTTGTTCTTAAACATTATTATTATTATCGTTATTATTATTATTGTTCTATCTTCTATCAACTATTATGACAAATTAAGTGACTAAGTGAACTGTTAATTGAATGATTGATCTATTGAAAATTGTTATGAAAATACATTTTTTTAAGTATTGATTAGTAGTTTAAATATCGACAAAATTATCGAAGTAAATAGCAGACACACACACACACACACACACACACACACACACACACACACACACACAACACACACGCAAATCCTTTTTTATACTAACGGCCACTAATTTCTTCTTATTAAAATAGCACATCCCTATATTATTCCAGAGGGGTCCACTATTAGGGATGTACCTGACGGCCAGCTTGTACTTAGCGAGCGCTACATCATGATCTCCGTGCATCTGCAGCATACTTCCGGCTCCCATTATGGCCTTGACATTGTCGGGGTCATAGGTCATTGCGTTGCCGAGGTGACTGAATGCGTTCTTGTAATCACCCATTTGTAGGTAGAGGAGACCAAGGGTGCAAGAGATGTCCACGTTTTCTGGAAACACCCTGGCGATGGTGATCATGATGGGGGGGGGAGATATAATGATGATGAAAATGATGACCATGTAGTGATGTGGCCAGCGATGTGACGATGGTAAAGTGGCAGCGATTACGACGACAATTGACCACATCACATTACATAACTAATGTGATGTTGAGAAAAACTGTGATGATGACTTTATAAAACAGGTTATAAAAAACGTGTCACACACACACATACACACACACACACACAAACAAACAAAACAAACAAACGCTAAAGCTTTAGTATAAGCAGCGATAGATTTGTTAATGTTCATTTCAGACTGATAAATTTCACCAAGTAGAGAATGAGAAAGGTGGCTGTCTTTGTACTGTATCGCTTCATTTAAAACTTCTTTGGCCTGTTAAATTATTCCCAGTTTATCAATTAATTAATTAATTAATTAAATTTTACTAATTATTAATATAAAACTTAACTTGTTGAGGTCTTTGAGGTACATGTAGCAAAGAGCCTTGTTGTGGGTTAACTCCTTGAATCATATTTACAATTACATTTCAAATTAAAAAAAACTAGATAACAATGAATAAAACGATAAATAATAATTAGAAATTATTATTAGTTACATTGTAATTATAATTAATTATTATGATTAAATAAATCAAGTTCACCCAATCATTATGGCATAATTTTTCAGCCTCGCTATAGACATCCAGGGCTGCCTTGTGGCGAGCCAGCAAAAACCTTTTTGAATATTGAAATAAGTTATTTTATTTTAAAATAATAATTAGCATATATTATGATTAAATGATATAAAAACCAAATAATTATTGCGGCGTTTTAAATACGAAAAGTTTATCAGATTTAATTAATCAAAAAATTAAATAGTTAATTAATTAATTAGTCAATTAATTAAATCATTAATTGAAATACTGACAACGACTTGGCGATTTGTTTAAAGTTTGCGACATTCTTGCAGTTGATGGCAGAGGCAGTTTGGAAGTGTTTTAAGGATTCATTGATATCTCCATCAATTCTGGCGACTAGACCCAACACGTAGCTACCATACTCGTTTTGGCACTGACGCTCTTGTGTGTAATTAGAATAAATAAATAAAAATAAATAATGGACTTAAGTAAGTTATATATGCCCATATCAAAATAGCATTAAAAGACAACAAAAGCAATCAAACAGCATTGTCAATTTTATGATCAAAGAGAAAATCTTAGTTGGCCAGAATTTGAATTTGATACGTAAAGAAATTAGCTAGAAACTGTAATTACAACCATTGTAAAGTAACATAACTGGAGTTACGGGGTTCGGATTATAATTAGAGAGAGAATTAAAAATAATAATAATATTATTATTATTATGACATAATTATTTTTTAAATTATGTAATAATAAAGTAATTATTATTGCACCGTGGTCAACTCTTAAGAGATTTCGGCATTTGTCGTAATCTTTCCTAACGAAATTCAAATGTAGTAGCCAGTTCAGTTGGTCACCGGAGCCAGCAAACAAGTCTGTATTTGTTGAGTTTGTTTGTATAATTAATTTTGATGTAATAAAATAGTTATATTAAAATTAACTAGTTAGAATTGATTAGCGAGTTAGATTGATTGTTAGAATTGATTAGCGAGTTATTTAAAACGCGTGTATGTGGGTCTTGTGGATGTTACGGGCCTTTTGGCATCTTTAAATAACAAAATAATAGAATGAGTATTGAGTAAAATGATATTATATTTGATATGTAAAGAAATGAGCTCTCCACTTGTCAAAACTTAATTAATAAATAATGAATATTTCGTTTCAATTGTAATTTAATTTATAAATTGAATTATTATAATATAGTAATTCAATTATTTATTTATTAATTTAATTTATATTATAAATAAATTAGTTTAGTTTATTTTTATTTTTCATTAATATTAAATATTAATTATTGATTATTCTCATTGAATTTTCGACTTTTATTTGCAAGATTTCAGTGTAACATTTGCTTGTTTATCAATATTTATTGTAAATTAATCTTAAAATTGTTATCAAATAAAAGACTGGAAGTTGAAATAAAACCCACACTCACACCTCTTTTAGACATTTTAAATTTATTTATGTTTGTTTAAATGTCATCGTCATAGTAACCGCAGGTAGAGTGTTGAATGGTATGAAGTTTAAAAATCACCCAAGCCTGGCTTTTCTGCCACAAAAATAACAAGTCACATGCACACACAAGCCACACACACACACACACACACACATACCACACTCACTCACACACACTCACAAACACATAAATAAACTCACTCTTCATAACCACAACTAGAATAGCTCGCGAATCAAGTTTGATCTTTTTCAAAACCGGATGCGGATTTGAAGTGTCATGGATAGGGTATGGATGTTGCGAATTTAGCAATTGCGGTTGGAAAATCTCGTTTGCACGGGTACACAGAACACCTAACACACACACACACGCACACATATACATACAAAACTAAATAATTAATTTAACAATCAAATTTTATTTGACTTCAAGACATGAAAAGCAATTTTTGTGATAAGTTCATGTAAAAAAGTTAGTTAATTAGCAAAATATAACAACAATAATAACGTACATACGTATAATATGTTATCAATGATAGTAAATAACTTAAGATAACGTAGGTTATAGTTCAATTTTATAGAATACCTATATAGTACACAATTGCCGAATAACAAATAATAAAAATAATAATTATTAACAATAATAATAATATAGTAATTAATAGTAATAATATAAATAATAATAATAATAAAAAGAAGAATAAAATAATAATAAAAATAAAATGGTATTAATGGACTTGAAATTTCTTCAAGCGGATGCGTCAAAGAGGCCAACAATGCACCTGGCGACATCTTCCTCTGAATACTTCATATACTTTTCGGGATTTTTCGTAAAACTGACGTTCCGGTACTTCTTCAAAAAAGCGCTATAGAATGGCAGGACGAAGGACCTGTTGTCGTCAATCAGCGCCTGCTTCAACTCCGGATCAGGAACGGAAAATGACTTCTGCTGTCGGCAGATGTCCTCCAGCTCTTTGTTGAAACCCTGGTTAGGATAAAAATTAAATTAAATTTTAAATAATAATAATAATCCTTGATAATAATGAAAATAATAATTATAACAGTAACAGCCATAATAAAAGGTTAAAGGTTAAAGAAGCATCCTCTTCCGCTGAAAAATATTAACGGCAGGTACACACAGTGCCCAAGATAGGTTGGGATCTTCTTGCAATCGAACTGGGTTACCGCAAAGCAGGAGGACCTCGCGCGCCTTTAACCGCTAGGCCATCACGCCGCCCTCAAGAAATAAAAAGAATAAAAAATTACCGCGAATTTCTCTTTTATGGCATTCCTGTCTTTATCCTTCAGCTATGAGAAAACAATTGGGAATTAAAATAAAATAATGTAACAATTATCATCATCATCATCATTATCATCATCATAATTATTATCATTATTATTAATATTATTATTATTTCTGAAATTATAGCAGTCGCCCACCCTGGAATCAGGTGACAGATCAGTACTGATCGGCCTCTGGTTCTCCGATATGAAGTGCAGGACCCCGCTCCAACTTCATATTATTATTATTATTATTATTATTATTATTATTATTAAAACTACACCACTAACGCACAAAAAAACACATACATGCAAATGCACACAATCACAGACACACACACACACAGACAGAAACACACAAACACCACATACACAAACACCACACAAACACACAGACAGAAACACACACACACAAACACACACAAACGGACAGACCATTGTGAATAGAGCCTCTTCTGATTGTTGATCTGCTCTTCGTAGAATAGTTGCACCTCGCTATTCCATAGGTGGATGACATCCATCATACCGGATCTGGTCGAGATGATGACGATGACGACGATGATGACTAAAGTGATGATGGTAATGAAATTGATGATGCTTCTGCTTAATTGAATTCATCAGATGACCACATCACGTGACCACATTACCACGTGATCAGACAGACACACAGACAGACCGACACAGACAGACATACAGACAGACAGATATAGAGACAAAAAACACTGACCTCTTCATCAGATTCAGCACATAATTGAAGTTGTTGAGCATGAAGATAGCTCTGAGGGCCACATCGTTGTAGCATTCTGTCTTGTTACTAAGGTTCAATCCCAGAGCTGATAAAACTTTCGCTATTTGTTGTTATAGTTGTTGTTGTGTTGATGTTGTTGGTGTGTTGATGTTGTTAGTGTGCTAATGTTGTTGTGGTGTAAATGTTATGTTTGTTTAATAGTTGTTCTGTTTGCAAATTTCGCGCGATTATATCTTTGTGTTGTTGTGGTTACGCCGTCGTAAGGAAACACCAAACCAGGAAGAGCAGTGAGCAGGAGTGAAAAGAAGAAAAGAATAATATTTGTTTGGATAGGCTGGACACTTGTTTCCTCCCAACCAGGGACTCATCAGCAGCCCAAATACTTATCAGAATCGTATCGCAGTTTCTCCTTATATAGCCCGTACAAATTACTTCGTTAGCTCGTGGTGTTTTCATTTATTATTGAGGAACGTTATATTCTAATCCTAATTTAATCATAGCCAAGAAAAAATTTAAATATAATTAAATTATAGAGAAAAAATAATTATATCCCACTGAAAAATTCCGCCAGCTTCAATCTCCATTTATCAGCTGCTACACTTTGTCCAGTGGCGGTTGTGGCTGCTACTGCTGCTGCTGATGGATCTGATCATGATGTTGGTGATAAATGGGAACATCATTTTATTTTCATCATAAATCACACGTTAAAAAGAATTGTTAATGAATTAAAATTTAATAAAAGTAAAATTGTTTTAAAATTAAAAATGTCAATTTGACAATAATAGAAATAAAAAACCTTGAAACATAAGCATGCATCCGACAACATCAGAGTATTCCAGCAATTGCTCCATGAAGAACATGGCCTTGGTGATGATGATGATAATGATGATAACAACGACAGCAACAACATCAACAACAAAATCAGCAACAACAACACCAACAACAAAATCAACAGTAACAACAACAGCAACAACATCAACAACTAACATTGCTGGTTAACTCGTGAACTGTGCCATCTTTTGGCATAGATGATTTGTCCGGGTCATTCTTGTGAATGAATAAAAGAATGAATGAATAAAAGAATAGATGAATGAATAAAAGAATGAATGAATGAATGAATGAATACCTATACTCATTTTCGAAAGTATCGCCTGCAATAACACCAACACTTTGCATATCTTTCAAACAGTGCTACACGAAAAGCTGGACTATCTATACTTTCTGTTCTGGACTATCTATATTTTCTGGACTATCTATACTTTCTGGACTATCTATACTTTCTAGACTATCTATATTTTCCATAGCAGTGTAATCGGTAGCCAATGAAAAAATCAAATAAAGACGACTGCGTAGCAATTAATTGTTTGGATTATCAAATTGGGAGCAAGATTTTGAGGTCTAGAACTCTCGGGGGTGACGCAAAATCGAAGGGTCGCTGGTCGCGCCAGTAACATAAGAACGACCAAACCAACTTCACTAATTTAGGCGCATCCAAACGCGAAGTTTAAAATAAGCGGGTGAGTATTTGTAACGCGGCACGTTTTTGTCCGCGGTCAGTTTTGCGTGACCCGTCCAGAAACATGCCTTATCGTGAAATCTACTCTCGACCAAAGTGACAAATGGAAAATATCGCGCATAGAGGAGTTTTTAAATGGGTCAAGAATTTATTACATTTTATGTATTATATTTTTTTTAAATTATACCCCAATTACATTTACACATTTTTATAGAAACAAATCGAGATTCTGAATTCGATAAGGAGAAAACAATAAGCTGTAAAATAGCGAATTAATGGAGTGTGTGACGAACAAAGCCAGAACTACTTAAAGTAGTAACTGATGATGTAATCAGTGGTAATACTATAACCCGGTTTAATTAGTAAGGCAGTAGTGTAGTAAGACGGTAAATATTTAAATAAGTACTTTTCGGTGAAATAGCGAGCGAAGTTACAAATATACATACTCGTATGCTATCGACGAACTCTTCAAGAGCTTTACAACCCTTAAGACGAATAATTAAATTTAAAAATTAGATTAATTAAATTAAATTAATTAAAAAAAATAATTTGATGGCGTGGTCTGATGTGATTATCTGTTAAAGTCTGAAAAAAAAACGTAAACCTAAGTAACGAAGAATAAATTAAAAAATTAAAAAAAATTAAAAAAAAACAAAAAAAAATTAAAAAAAAAGGATTACAATAGCCTGGAGTGCAGTGTTGACGGATTGATATTTGGCTTTTGTGGTAGCCTGGCAATCCTATGAAGATGATGACGGTGATGATCACGTGATATGGTCATGTGACCATCACGTGACCGACCACGTCATTTGATATTGTGATGTCATATTCGAATTTTACTTACAACATCAATGAACGTGAGAAATACATTAAAAACAACAACAACAATATCATCAACAACAACCACAACATCATCAATCATCAACAACAACAAGAACAAAACAATCACAAAATCCACATTATCACCATTAACAACAACATTAGCAGCAGTAGTAGCAGCAGCAGCAATAACAGCCACAACAACATCGTCGTCACCATCGTCATCAACTGCAGCAGCGACCTTCAACAGCGCTTCATATTTAGAATTATAAGTGGAGAGCTGCCTCAAGACTGGCAACATCATGGTCACTGACGTGTTGTTGTGGCGTGTTGGTGACCTCTTTATCACTTGACCTATGTGCTGATTGGTTGGTTGGTTGGTCATGATGTTGATGCTTATTGGTTGGCTGGTTGGTCATGATGTTGTTGCTGATATGCTGATTGGTTGATTGGTCCTGATGATGATGGTGATGATGTTGACTAGTGGTGATGATGATGACCTTAAAGAAGAAAAAGATAATGATGATAAGTTAAAATAGCCACATTGCTAATCATCGTATCGTCAGTATCATTACTATCACCATCGCTATCATCACCACCACTATCATCATCATCATCATATCATCATAACATCATCATCATCACCTCAGCCTCCCTGTTCAAAAAGTCGACAGTGATGAGGAGGAGGTGGTCGTAGATTCTAGATCGACTCTTTTCAGGAATCAGTTGAGTCATCAAGGAGCTCTCTGCCTGTGTGTGCGTGTGTGTGTGTGCGAGTGTGTTTGCGCGTGTGTGTCTGTCAATAAGTTTATCAACCAACCAATCAACCAACCAACCAACCAACCAACCAACCAACCAACCAATCAACCAACCAGCCAACCAACCAACCAACCAGCCAACCAACCAAACATTCAACCAACCAACGAACCAACCGACCAACCAACCAACTAACTTGTATGAGCTTGACAAGGCATGGAATGATGATGATGATAGAGTTGCAGTCCACCTCGAAGTTCTCATCTTTCAATCCGACGTTCACCGGTCTGTAGGCTGCCACAACAACAACAACAACAACAATAATAATAATAATAATAATAACGGAAGTGATGACGTCATTTGACCTACCTGCATGATCCTGCTGCTTTTTCAGGAAGCTTGAAGCCTTTGTTACAACGCTAATAAAAAATGATGATGACGACGACGATGATGATGATGACGACGACGACGACGATGATGATGTTGATAATTGTGATGACGACGATGTGGTGATAATGATAAATATAAATATATAAATAAATATAAATAAATAATGGGCTTAAACGTAAGATAATAATGATGATGATGACGACGATGGTGACAATGATGATGATGATAATTGGAGTAGTGATGGTAAACACGTCAACGATGATAGCAAAGATGATGATGATAATGACAAAGTTAAAGGTTAAAAGTCAATTACACCCATCCAAGGTTCAGACAAATCAACAGTGCACACGCCGCCCGAATATATTCACGTACGTATTATCGCCCCGCTTACCCTCGCTTCAAAGTCTTCTTCGGAGTCTCCCTCAACTTCCCTTTCTATGTAAACAAAAATTAAAACAACTTATAAAAAAATAATAACAATAATAATAATAATAAGAATTATTATTATTATTATTACAATAGATCTATTCAAAGTATGTATGTATGAAGTTGATGACGATGATGTTGATGGAGACTATAAACGAGGATTTGTTATTATTATTACTATTATTATAGCAAAAGAATATTAATAATAAAAGAATAATTAAAATAAATAAAAATGAGAACATAGACGTACGACGGACGGCGATTGAGACATCCCCCCTCCGACGATGAGTGTCGCGCTGTTCTCCCTGATGGGCACCACTCTGAGGTGACTTTTCAGACTGGTGATGGATGACGATGACGACGATGATGACTACGATGATGGCGATGATGATGATGGCGATGATGATGATGGCGATGATGATGATGGCGATGATGATGATGGCGATGATGATGATGGCGATGATGATGGCGATGATGATGATGATGATGACGATGATGATGATGATGATGACGATGATGATGATGACGATGATAATTATGATGATGATGATGATGACGATGATAATTATGATGATGATGATGATGATGATAATTATGATGATGATGATGACGATGATAATTATGATGATGATGATGACGATGATAATTATGATGATGATGATGACGATGATAATTATGATGATGATGATGACGACGATGATAATTATAATGATGATGATGATGGAGACTTAAGAGACTGATTGTGATGATGGTGACGATGATGTTGATGACGGTGGCAATGGCGGTGACTGATGGTGGGGGTGTTCATCACGATGACGTCATAATGTCCACTCCTATTATAGATATTTTCAATCAAAATAGAATTCATCTGACAACAAAAGCTAAATTTTAGGGTCGTAGTGTAGTGATTTGCGGTTCTGGAGGCGACGAAAAACCATCCATACAAATCATCATATCATCATCGTTGTCATCATATTATCACCAGAGCATCCTCACCACAACGCCTCATCATTCCAACGTCACCATACCATCATCGTCGTCGTCGTCCCATCACATCAACATCTGAGCAACGTAATCACTACAACACCATCAGCAATTTATCACCGTATTATCTTCACATCATTAGCACGCTACGCCACGCCACACCACACAACGCCACACTACACCACACCACGCCACGCCACATACTCTCGGAGATTCCTCATCATGACGTCGGAGCGTACTTTGACGTAATATTGCACCAAGTTCACCTCGTACTTCGACTCCAACAACCAGATGGAAATGACTTTCAATTTGTTAAGCGCCTCATCATTATAATAGACGATGTTGTACGGTGACGTCAGCGATGTTGATGATAGTGACGCCGATGATGATCTCGGCGATAATGATGATGATGAGGCTTTCTCATCTGTCGGCCATGGTGATGATGATGATAATAATGATGGTGGTTGTGGTGATGATGATGATGGTGGTGATGATGACGGTAACGGTAACCATGGTGGTTGAGATGATGATGATGATGATAGTAACGACAATGGTGAAGATGGCGATGATAACGTTTGTAATGATGGTGGTTAATAACATTGAAAATTTGCATAATGAATGAGTAATGAAATTACCTTTTGTGAAGATTCAATCACTCAGCCAACCAACCAACCAACCAACCAATCACTCAGCCAACCAACCAACCAACCAACCAATCACTCAGCCAACCAACCAACCAACCAACCAATCACTCAGCCAACCAACCAACCAACCAACCAATCACTCAGCCAACCAACCAACCAACCAACCAATCACTCAGCCAACCAACCAACCACCTTCTTCATTGGATACGGATTCAATTAGTTGGATCGGCTGGATTGGCTTATTGCATTGGGATAAAAGATTGTGAAACTCTTTCTCTAGAGACTCCTTCCCAGCGTCGTACAATGCAATCTGAAATGATGGATGGTAAAATGAATGAATGTACAAATGGATAGATGAGTAAAAAGATGCATGAATAGATGGATGAGTACAATCCCATTATCACCTCCCCTAAACATTACACTTCTACACCAGAACATCCCTACTTTCACTAAACACGAACCACATGAGCCATAGTGGGACTACCAGGATTGTTGTGCACCAAAAACTTCACTGCCCTTGTCAATCTGTTTAGGCTCTCTATGTACAATGCTAGGTTTGTGCTGGGTCTGTGTGTGTTTTAGTAACAGTGTATTATTTATTTGTTTTACGTGTGTGTGTGTGTGTGTGTGTGTTTGTGAACGTGCATGGATATGTGTGTCTACTAGAATGCAACAAGTAATCAACCAATCGGCATCAATTATTCAAGAATTCAAAATCACCCAGCCAGTAATCATCCACTAATCAACAGACCAACCAATTAAAATGAACGAACCCATCTCTCATAACAGGCTCCACATCTTCAGCCACATTGTAGTAACCAATCACGTGATCCAACACAGCTACTGTCTTTTCAATATCTTTTTTGGGGGAGAACCCATTTTTGTAAATTTTTCATCGAGAAATAATTTTTTTTTCTTACTAACTTTCATGTCGTCTCTGTAGATTTCCAGTTTCCTGGTATATCGGCATGATGGTATCTTCTAACTTTTTGAGTCTTTTCTCAAAGGTGGTCAATATGGAGAGCATGTTGTCCTTCATCTTCTCACTCCTACCCAAGGACTCTTGCAGAACAGCCAGGTTCGACATCTCCTTCAATGGTTTTGGTTGTGTTTAGTAACTAAACTTTAGTTTAAAAAATGAAAGAACAAATTGAAGAATGAAAGTTTAACAGCTAACTAAAGTTATGCTACTAAACAGTGTAGAAGACCAAATATAACATAATACACTGATCAATCAATTTTTTTTTATTTAATATTTATAATATAATAATATTAATTTTTTTATAATTTTGACTTTTTGACATTTATTAAAAGGCAAAAAAGAAAAAATTTATAAAACTTTACTTTACTTTTTGCAATTTAGTGGAGACATTTGATTTTTCCAGTGTGTCAGGCATTTTAAAAAAATGAAATATAAAAAATAAATAATAAATTATAATAAATTAATTAATAAACATCGAAACTTCATAATATAAAATTAAAATAAGAATATTTATTTATTCTTTCAAGAAGATATTTAAATTTTAAAAGTGAATTTCAATAAGACAGTTATTTAGGGTCTATCCAATGTTTCTGAGATTAAACTCTTGTAAAAAAGGCTACGAGATATGAAAAACTAATTAATTTTACATATATAATAATTAAATATAAAAAATATATAATTTAAATAAATTAACAAATTTTTCAAGCACTGGCAATGTTAAAATTTAATTTTAATTAAAAACCTTTTCCACTTTTAATTACTTTTAAATACTTTTGACATGCGCTTTGAGTTGATGTAAACGTAACGTTGAGAAGATATAAATTGAAAAAAAGTCTTTTTAATGATTTTAAATTAAATTAATCGTTAACGCCATTTTTTTAATTTAAAATCAAATTTGTTCAATTTTACAATTTTTAATTTTGGTCGTTTGCAGACTTTCTGTTATTAACGTTCTTGCTGTTTTATTTCCTAAATCTTAATTCTTAATCAATAAAAATTCAGGTAGAACAACTTGTTGACTTGTCACATTTTTTTAGTTTATTTATTTATTTACTTATTTTTTTAACGTTTAAATTTAATTATTTTAAGAAATACAGGATAATAATCTTGATCATTTTATTTAATTGGTAAACTTCTAAATTATTGTCCTTCCAATTATAATTATAATTATGTTATAATTATAATATATTAATAATAATTAATTAATGTATTCAATCAAGCTATCTATTTCTATATGTATGCATAAAAAACAATTAATATATACAATACAAATAATTATTAATTATACAATAACAGCACATACAAAATAGTATAGTATACCCTAATATAATATACAAAGATCTTAATCTTAATTAAATGAAAATAAAAGCAACCTATGCATTCATGTATGTATAATTGTAGACTCTTCTATATTCTATTAAGTATAATTTATAATATGTATGTTTTTTCATACATAGTATTTCTATAATATAGTATAGAGATACTATATATAAAGTGTAGTTATAGTAGCAGTATTTTTTTAATTGGTTGCTAAGTAAGTTAGTATACGTATATATAAGTATAGAATAGAGCGTAAGTTAAAAATTGCAATGCAAGATTTAAATCAAGCTTTAAAAAGTTACTTAAAAAAACAGCTTGTATAAAAATAATTTCAAGGAAAAAAGAGGGAGAGAGAGAGATGAAAATTGAAATATCTTTTCACTTGCAATGAAAAATATGGCAAAAACAATTTTTAAGGATTTTCAATCCAATAGAACAAAATATTTAAAAATTATCCCCAAAAAAATGCAGACCAAAGATCATCAATTTAGCAGCATGTTGGGCAGGCGGAGCTCTTCGTTTGGCTTCCAGATAATTTCGGTGGCCATCGTTCTGGTGGTGTTCGTGTACGGCTTCTTCATGTATCAGAAACTTTCTTCTCAACTATTGAAGTCCGAGAAGCATATTGCCGATTTGACGTCTGCAAAAGAGGATTTGTCACACGATGCCCAAGGTGAGAGTTATTAAAAATAAAAAGGAGAATTAATTTTCTTTGTACAGTAGGATAAAAATAGATTAAAAAATTAATTTTCTTTGTATGGCAGAATAAAAATAAATAAAAGAATTATATTTCTTTTTATGGCAAACTAAAAATTTATTTTTTTCCCTGTGACATGGTGGAAAAAATGATATTTTTTATAACTGTTTATTCTGATTTTTTAGCACCATGTCTCTATCATTATCATCATCAGTATCATCATCATCATAATTAGCAACATCGTCATCATTAGCATCATCATTATCATCAACGTGATTAATTCCAGTTAATCTCTCTTTACCTGCAAACTTCAGCTATTTTATTTGCTCATAGACATTATTTGAAAAGTTTTATGATATAATTTGTTAAGTTACTCATTAATTCATTCATTCGTTCGTTCATTCATTCATTCATTTATTCATTTATTTATTCATTCATTCATTCATTTAATTATTCATTCATTCATTTCTTGTTTCAGTGTTAAGAGAGTCCAAGGCAGAGTTAGAAAGCTTGCTCAAGACCAAAGAAAAAGAATTCATCACTTCTGAAAAAGGCATTTTTTTTATTTATCTTCTAAATTTTCTTTGATCTATTTTTATAGTGGAATATCTTTAATTTGTTGAGACTTTCATTCGTTATGCATAGTTCAATTAATAGTTTTATTTAATATAAATATATATATATATTTATATTAAATAAATCAAAGTTCAATTTTACAACACCGAAGTTAATTTTTACAACGTCAAAGTTAATCTTGACAAAGTCAATATTTCCCTATATATACAACAAAGAGCACTGACGATGATTCATTCGGAATCGAAATATGGCCTTATTTGCAGCATGAATTCGAAAAATAAGTTTATTTTGAATTTTAATAAACTAAACGTTCACCAAAAAACTTTAGTGAGAAAAATCGAAAAAACGAACTACAAACATATTAACGCCAAACATTCGGTAGTTGTTATAGAATATTGTAAAAATATATATATTTATATATATACGTATATATTATTTAGTTAGATTATATTTTTACATTATTATTATTTAATTATTTTTAATTGCAATTAATTATTTGGAAAGGTGTTTATTTAATTAAGTGCAGATAAGGTAAAACTATGTTTTGATTGATTTATGTGGCATCTGCTAACTGGATTGATGGTTTGAACTAGTTATTATTATCATTGTTGTTGTTTTTATTGTTATTACAATTATTTTATATTTTATAATAATTTTTTATAACTATTATAACATTTATTAATATTATTAAAAATATTTTAATTAATTTGAAAATTAATTTTCTCCATCCATAGAGAAAAATTCGATCATATCTGATCTCAGAGAGAAAGCTTCTATTGATCAAGTGCGTGTTTGTGTGTTTGTGTGTGCGTGTTTGTGTTTACGTGTGTGCGTGTGTGTGTTTGCGTGTGTGTGTGTTTGCGTGTGTGTGTGTGTGTGTGTGCTTGCGTGCGTGTGTGTCTGTGTGTGTGAATGTGTGTGTGTTTTGATATTTTAGTTTCATTGTAATAAATAAATAAATAAATTAAGAATATTATTCGTTATTATTATTAATGTTATTATTATTATTCATTATTATTATTGTGCCTGTGTTAAGATTCATGATTTTGTTGCTGCTGTAAGATGAACCACATTATTTCATTCAATGGATATTCATCGTCATCATTATCCAGACCCTTATCATAAATATCATCATTGTATATATTATTATTATTATTAGCAATATTTCATTAACATAAATCAATAAGGCCATCACGTTTCGTTATCATTAAAATTGTTATTTGAATTGTTGTTGTTGTTGCTGTTGTTGTTGTTGTTGTTGTTGTCATTGTTGTTGTTGTAATTTTTCAAATGCATCACACCCATTTTGTTCAAAAAATCTAAGTTTCACCATCTATTTAGCCTTTCTTCTATTTCTAGTCCCTTTGGTCTTAGTATATTTTATGTTTTTGCGATTTTTTTCGTTATTGTTATTATCTGTTTATTTATTCATTATTATTTTAAATATTTATTGTAATTATTTATTTTAAATAAATATTTATTTTTATTAATTTTCAAAATGAATGTCATTTAGAATAGGCAGCTAGCTGAAATTACTGAATTAAACAACGATAAGAATCATTTGCAGGTTCTAATTTATTCATCTTTAATTTTATTTCATTTAATATTTTCTAATTATTTTCATTAAAATTAATTTTAATTGTCATTATTTCGTTTCGTTTTTTGTTATTTTGTCACGAATTCTGATCTTCTGTCAATTTATTTTAATTATTTAATTAATTATTATAATCAATAAAAATTGATTATAATATTTTTATTGCGACATCCAGGTCATAATTCAGATTTAGTTGTTGTGCTTAATTATCATTATTATCGCCGTCATGATCGTCACATTGCCATCGTGCTGGTCATCACGAATGAATGAATTAATGAATGAAGAAATGAATGAATGAAAAAATTATTATTATTATTATTATGTTATTCACTCTATTGACATTCTTCAGAGGATTGTACTGTGATTAAATGCTTAGTTGAACAAATAACTTCTTTTTAACTCTCTTCTGAAATCTTTTTCTGGAACAATTTGCTTCAATCTTGTTAGATGATCATTCCATACCTTGGACAGAGCAACCTGCACAAATGAATGAATGAATGAATGAATGAATTCTTACGATACAAAGTTGCCATCACATTGGTGTTATCATTTTTCATCACCATCATTGGCAACTCGGTGCCCTTAAGGGCTTGGCATTTTAATTTTAAAAAGAACTTTTTTTAATTTCGTTTGTTTAACCAATAATTAGTTGTAACGTCCTTACCATTATCACACCATATCGCTATCACATAATCGTCACTATCACCTCATCATCATCACCACCACAACATCATCAACATCACCACCACAACATCATCAACATCACCACCACAACATCATCAACATCACCACCACAACATCATCAACATCACCACCACAACATCATCATCATCACCACCACCATCACCACCATCAGGACACGTTGGAGAAGGAGCGCTTACAAGCGAAGGAAAACATGGACGAGGCCGACAAAAGGATGGAGCGTATGAGGGAGGAAATGTCTCAACTCCAAAGCAGATTGAAGCAGGAGAATGAGAATGAGGTCGCCCAGCTGAAAGGTCAGCAGCCACCCTGATCCTTCATCTTTATTGGCTCGGCGGCATTTTCACTTCTATCATGTATCAATTTCAGTCAGCCAGTGATTGCACTGTTAACCAGTCTGAGCCAACACCAACCATTCACCATCAACCAACCAATCACAATCAACCAGTCAGAGCCAGCATGTCACATCCTAATTGATTTGACTTATTTAGATTGTTTGCAAATTGTTCAAGTAGATGATAATGATGTTGATGATAATGATGATGATGATTATGTTGATGATGATGATGATAATGATGTTGATGATGATGATAATGATGGACTACTTTTGATCGCCACAGATGAAGTAGCGAATTGCAGAAGAAAGTTGGATAAGATGGCAAAAGTTCAGGAGCAACTTGACTCACTGGTTGGTTGTCTGTGATTGGTTGGTCTTGATTCTTACTAGCTGAATGTGATTGGTCACTTGTTGTGATTGAGTGATTTGATTGGTTGGTTGATTTTGATCACATGGCTGGTATTGATGCTCTTTGTTCTGATTTGCTATTTTGATCTGATTGGTTTGTCGGATTTGATTGGTTGACTATTTAGCTACACTTGTTTCGTTGGCTTGTTTTGATTGGTTGGCTGATGTTGGTTCTGGTTGGTTGAAAAATTTTCTCTCATTTCTCAATTTAATGATTGGGTTTTTGTCATTAATTTTATGGCTGTTGTAGGTTGGATTGGTTAAGGATGCTAGTAGCTGCATTAGATAGTTTGCTGATTAATCAATCGGTCAATTGGTTAATTGATTGATTAATTAATTGACTGACTGACTGATTGATTGATTAGATGAAAAAGAACAGCAGTAGTGTGAATGAATCAAAACCAGCTGTGAAGGAGCCAGAGCCACCAAACATGCAGATTGAACAACCTGGTTTGTTTGTTTGTTTGTTTGTATATCTATGCGTATGTATGTTTGTTTGTTTGCTTGTTTGTATATGTATGTTTGTTTATCTATCAATGTATTTACGTTTGTGTATATGTACGTTTGTACGTATGTTTGTTAGTCTGTTTGTTTGTGTACGCTTGTTCATATGTTTGTTTGTATACTCATGTTTGTTTGTTTGTATGCATGTGTGTATGTGGATTTGTTAATTTGTTTGTATGTTCGTGTATATCTCTTTGTTTGCATTTCTATATATGCCTGTTTGCATATCTATTTATGTTTGCATGTATATATATATATATATATATATGTGTGTGTGTGTGTGTGTGTGTGTGTGTGTGTGTGTGTGTGTGTGTGTGTGTGTGTGTGTGTGTGTTTGTATGTTTATATATGTATGCATAGTTGTTGATGTTTAATGTTTTTTGAACATGTTTATTTCTAAGTAGGTACTAAATGTTATTCTGTCTTTGCTTATTGATTTAGTTGTATGTGTAAGAGTGCGTGCGTGTGTTCGTGTGTATGTGTGTGTGTGGTGTGTATGTGTATTTATGTGTGTATGTGTGATTAGTTTATAATTTTTTAGCAGACTATATCGAATTATATTTTTAATGATATTTTGAAACATAACATTATATAGCTTTGTTTTTCATGTTTTATGGCTTTGGGTATTCTTGCATCAGATGTTACATGTTTGTTAAAGATGTTGTACATTTGTATAAGATATTGTATAGTTGTGTAAATTGTGTTTGTTTGTTTGTTTGTATAAAATTTTGTTTTATGTTTGTATGATACGTAAGTTTGTATATATAAAGTGTTTCTTTTGTATAAAGTGTTGTATGTTTTGTATAAAATGTTGCATGTCTGTATATGATGTTGTGTGTATAAAATGTTGTTGTACGTTTAACAGGTGAGCGTTTGAAGGGCTACAACAACAGGAGTGTAAACGATATTTCTCTAGACAACAACATCAACAACATCAACAATAGAGATGACGTTATCAACAAGGATGACGTCAACAACAGAGATGACGTCAACAAAATTGGTAACGCCGATGATAAGAGATCCAATAGAGAACAAGTCATTCCTCCTGTAATTGTTAGTGTTGTTGCTGTTGAGACGTGGCGTCGTTTGATGATGATGATGTTGTTGTTGTTGTTGACTGTGTTTGTTGTGTTGTTGTTGTATGTTGTTGGTTGTGTTTGTAGTGTTGTTGCAGTTGTCGATGTAACCTTAGTTTGTGTTGCTTCTGTATTTTTGTTGACTGTTTGTAAGTGTTGTTAATAATGTTGATTTCATTTTTTTTTTCTTATAAACTTTTCAGAAGGACAAGAAGTCTTTTGATAATATGAAAAATCATTTTAACGTTAGTATTGTTGTCGTTCTTGTTATTGCTATTGGGGTTGTTGTTGTTGTTGTTGCTGTTGTTGTTGATGTGATTGTTGCTGTTGTTGTTGCTCTTGTTGTTGTGGTTGCTGTTGTTGTTGTTTTTGTTGTTGTTGGCTAGTTGATGTAATGACATATTTTTTTCATTTTTATTATTATTTTTCTCATCGTTTTTGCATTTCCCTAAACAGTGCCAACCGTAATTAGCACTTCCAATGTGTCTAGTTATCTGGCTGGATGGCTGGCTAGCTGGCTGGCTGGCTGGCTGGCTGGCACTCACTATTTGTTTTGGCAATCACTTACAAGTTATCATTTAAATTATAAAAATTAAAATTGAAAAACAGAGACAAAGAGACAACGACGAAGACAACAACAACAACAATTACGACACTAACCAACGACAACAACAACAACTGCAAAAAGAACGGCAAGACGAGCTTAGTAGGATAAAATTCAAGAGGAGCATACAGAAGGGCCATGCAGCGGCCGATGGTGGAGCCATTCAGGGCAGCCTGGGAGGGCCGAGTCAGGTTGAGGCACCAAGAGGGGGTCACCATGTCGAGGGCAAACAGGGTTAGGTGGCGGTGCTGATTATGATAGTACGATGAAATGATGATGGGATGATGATATGACAATGACGGTGACGGATCTAACGTAATAGTAGATAATGAATGATGTGATGATGAGGATGAGGAGGAGGATGAAGACGACGATGAATTTCAACACTCAAACACTTTAAACTTGAATTATCATATTTTTCACCGAAGCAGCGGAAGACACCGGCACTCTCAACAACAACAACATCATCATCAACAACAACAACAACAACGTTAACAGCAACAACAACAACAACGACAACGATGACGAAGCATTTAAAAAACCGCAAGAAAAATTGAACGGCATAGAGGGCCAAGATGGGCAGAAAAATAACAAAGAAATTGGTCAAAAGGGCCCCGAGGGTAGAAACATGGCTCCAAACGGCGAACAAAATGACGCCGCGGTCCATAGAGGCGATGACGTCATCGCAGAGAAGGACGTAAAAAATGGCGATGGTGAGGCTGCTAGGAATGATGCTGAGAAGGTGAAGAGGCTTGATGATCATCATCACTTGGATGATGATGATGATGATGGTGGTGGTGAAGTTGCGGGTGACGGAGCTGTTGGTGGTCATGGTGGTGGTGGTTGGGATAATAATGGTGAGGATAGACTGAGGGAAGGAGGAAGAATTGATGAAAGAGTCAAAGTTGACAGGAGGAATCAGGCTCTGTGAGGTAGATAGTTACTAACAAATTTGTGGTTTTCATTATTATTATCATTAGTATTATCATTGTTATCATTATTATTATTTTTATTATTATTAGTTATTGTAACAGTCTTTAATTATGTCGTTATCACTATATCAGTCCCTGCCTACCACTGAAACGTGATATCATCATCGTCGTTGTCATCATCATCGTCATTACTTTATACAATCCATCCATCATTATCATTACGCAATTATTATTATATCAGACTCACTCACATCATATCTACTCTCACAGGCGATGCTGTATGAAGAAGGTAGAGAACTGATGATGACGACGACGACGATAAATATGATGATGTGGTAGTAGTGATGATTATGATGACGATGGGGATTCGGATGATGATGATGAGGATTCTGATGATGATGATGGTAAAATTAAGAGAATGTAACACTGATGATGTTGTTGATAATGATGATGATATCAATGATGATGATGGTGGTGTTGTTGTGGCAGTAGTGATGATTATGGTGATGAGGAGGTGGAGTTGATATCAATGAGGATGATATCAATGATGATATGATATCAATGATGATAATGGTATCAATGATGATAATGATGGTGATGGAGCGTGGTGGCTATTTTTTTTTATCATTCTAGCATCAGCTTGCGCTGAAATGATGATATCACTTTTATTATTATTATCACTATTATTATTATTATTATTATTATTATTATTGCAATTAATATTCGTTATTGTTAATATTATTATTTAAACAAAATATTATTATTTTATTACTTATTGGTGATGATAATGTTGCTAATTGTAACATAATTTGTGGTAGTTGTTGTTGTTGTTATTTATTTATTTATTATTGTTGTTATTATTGTTATTATTATTGTTATTATTAATGTTATTAATTATGTAAATTATGCTAAATCGAAATTCGATACCATTTTCAATAAATAAACATGAAAAAATTTGTTACAACTGCTATTTGTTTATTTATTCATTCGTTTAATTATTCATTCATCCATTCATTTATCCATTCATTCATTCATTTATCCATTCATTCATTCATTTATTCATTCATTCATTCATTTATCCATTCATTCATTCATTTATCCATTCATTCATTCATTTATCCATTCATTCATTCATTTATCCATTCATTCATTCATTTATCCATTCATTCATTCATTTATCCATTCATTCATTCATTTATCCATTCATTCATTCATTTATCCATTCATTCATTCATTTATGGTTTTCATTCACTGCTTGTTTATACTTTCAATCAATCACTATTTTGCTTGCTAATTCATTCATTTTTTCATTCATTCATTCTTTATTTGTAGTTTGTTTATTTATTTTTTTTTCGTTTTATCATGTAAATGAATGATGAATTGATAAGTTATCTAATTAATTAGTTACCTGATTGAATAATTGAACGATTAATGGTCGATTGAATGATTGATTGAATTGATTGATTGATTGATTGATTGATTGATTGATTGATTGATTGATTGATTGATTGATTGATTGATTGATTGATTGATTGATTGATTCATTGATTCATTGATTGATTGATTGATTTGCGTTACTGATTACAACAGTTGATGAAGACGCCTGAATGAATATATTGTTTTATTTTTTCTCTAATTAATCATTCTTTTTCTCGTTCATTCATTTTTTCATTCATTCGTTCATTCATTTATTCATTCATTCATTCATCTATTTGTTCGTTCATCCATTCTTTTATTCATTTTTCATTCGTTCATCTTATCACTTCCCGTTTTGAGCCATGCGTGTTGCATTTTTTCTTATAATTAACTAAAAATTAATTATTGATAATAAAATTAATTAATTATTTTTTATAATTAATTAATTCATTCATTTATTTATTCATTCGTTCATTCACCAATAGTTTTATAATTAAATCAATCCTTTAATTAATCATTCGCTCATTCATTCCATGATTTGTGCATGTATGTTTGTGCGCGCGTAGTTTAATTCGTTCTTTAGTCTTTCTTTGGTCATTCATTCATTCATTCATCTATTTGTCCATAAGTTAAATCTTTCATTCATTCATTCCTCTAACCATTCATTCACCCACGTCATATTTTATTAAAAATTATAAAATTGTTTCTAATTAATATGCTACAATATGTGCGTGTGTGTATATATATATATATATATATATATATATATACGGGTGCGTGTATACGTGTGTGTGTATGTGGTGTGTGTGTGCGTGTCTATGTTGTATTTTTATGCCTTTACCTGTTTACGTTCATCATACAATATTTATTTATCATTATCATTATTTGGTATCATTGATCAGTTATTACGCTTGTACGTATAACGTTATCTATAATAATATTATTATTATTATGTTATTATTATTGTTATTATTATTATTATTATTATTATTATTATTATTATTAGTGTGGCTAACGGTACTCTTAGTTTTGGGACTTTTTTTTAGAACAAGAAACATACACACGCACACACACACACGCACACACACACGCACACACACACACACATATATATATGTATATATATATATATATATATATGTATATATATATAAATATTTCAATAATATGTTTATGTTCTAAGCGGGTTTTTTTATGTAGAACCTTTCCTTTTGTGCATGGTCGTTTTAAAGCCGAACCACGTGTTGAAGAGTGCAGCCGTTCTTCAACATGTAAATTCAAATATCAGCTGGCTACATTTCTTGAGTTGGAGACCATGTTGTATTCATGTTCAACGTAGCCACCTGATATCTGAATCTACATGTCCTCTTGAAGGCTCTGCACGTCAGAATGTTTCATATATCGAAGTGTCTACAACATCGCCAACTAGACCATGCTGCATAAAAGGGAATGTTTTATAAAGACACACAAACACACTTAAAACACACACATAATATTGAAATTACAAGAGGAATGACAGCAACATCGATATATATATATATATATATATATATATATATATATATATCGGATTAAGACTGTCAGAAATTATTGATGAAAATCACGGCATGTTCCACGTTAGTTAGCTTCCTGTTTAGTTTTTCTAACGATTGATCGTAAATCATGTCAATAACAACGATTAACAATTTACGACTAGCCGAATCAATACTCATAGAAACAAGACATCCGATAATAAATATTCAACAACGGGCAATTGGAATCCTTCCCACTAATAAACTTAGAAACAAAGGAATCATCGATAATGACGACACGTGAAAGTGTCATATTGCACAAAGTTGAAGATTGTAAAACTAATCGTTAAGTATTCACATTAAACAAACAAAAAATTAACATTGTAGAGACACAGTTTATATATATATAATATTTCAATATTTCCCTATATAAACAGCAGAAAGCACTGACGATGATTCATTCGGAATCGAAATATGGCCTTATTTGCAGCATGAATTCGGAAAATAAGTTTATTTTGAATTTTAATAAACTAAACGTTCACCAAAAAACTTCAGTGAGAAAAATTGAAAAAACGAACCACAAACATATTAACGCCAAAAATTCGGTAGAATTTATAGAATATTGTAAAAATTATGGTCTATTATCAACATATATATATATATAAATATATATACACACACATATATATATATATAATTTGAGACGAGGATTTCGTTGATGCATATTTCATTAAATTTGTATGCCCACTCTGCATTCAAAAGTTTTTTTGATAAGAAAGTTTTTTGATAGGAACTTTAACACCTCGTAGTTTTTTGAATTCCTATTTATTCAAAACACCCATGAAATTTGTCAGCTGAGAGCGCGTGGTATTGAAGTTCTTATCAAAAAATTTTTGAACGCAGGGTGGGCATACAAATTTAATGAAATGCATATATATATATATATGCTTTTCTGTTCTGTTACAAAAATTGAATACGTATACAGAAAGCTAACTAACTAACGCGGAGCATACTGTGATTTTCATCATTAATTGCTTATATATATATGGTTTCTTATATATATATATATGGTTTATATAGTTGCATGTATATTCGTACCACTTGATTAATTGCTTTTTCGTTGATATGTATTTTTTTTACTAATCAACTGATAATTTATCGCCAAATGATAATTGCAAGTGTGTGTGTGTGTGTGTGTGCGCGCGTATGTGTATCTCTATTTGTCTGTCTGTGCAGTTTGATACAGCTTTTATTGTGTTGATACAAATAATAATATTAATGAATATTATCATCATCATATCCACTGTTTAAATTCGATTGCTTTTATTTTATTATTATTCCATAGTGTTTCCTGTATTATTTTGAATAAATAAATAAATGTTGGATGGTTGGTTGATTGATTGATTGATTTATTATCTATATGTTTATTTATTTGTAATTATTATTATTATTATTATTATTATTGTTATGCTTGCAGTTGTTATTGTTTGAAAAACATGTTTATGAATTTCTAAGACCTTCATCTTTCTGTTGATTTTTTAATGTTATTTATATGTGCATAAATTGTGGATATGAATTATTATTTAAGAAAAAAAAAATTGTTATCGATTTGTTTTATTTTTATTGGCTTTTTTATTTATTTATGGAAATGGATGTTATTTTTTAATATTTATCTTTTATTAAAAGAAAGATATTTATCTTTCTATCGGAGGTATGCGTAACTGCATGCAAAATTTTCTATAATAATATAATTGCTTTAAGTAAAATAATGGAAATGATGATAAAAATGCCCGAAATGTGCCTAATGGTCTTCTTTGTCAGTTTTTATGTGTCTGTATGTGTGTGTGTCTGTATGTATATGCGTGTTGTGCGTATGTGCGTGTTGTGTGTGTGTATGTGTGTCGTATGTATATGCGTGTTGTGCGTATGTGCGTGTTGTGTGTGTGTATGTGTGTCGTATGTATATGCGTGTTGTGCGTATGTGCGTGTTGTGTGTGTGTATGTGTGTCGTATGTATATGCGTGTTGTGTGTATATGCGTGTGTGTGGTGTGTGTGTGTGTGAATGAGTGTGTGCTTCGCTTGTTTGGTAGAGTAATGACTTTATAACATCAGGCGGCATTATTCAACCATAATAACCGAGCGTTTGCAGTGATGTAGTTGGGCGGTGCCTGCATTCCTGTACATCGCTTGCATACGAATTTGATAAAATTTTGATCGTAAAGCGGGAATAAAATAATGGAAAAGGAACAAAATCTATCGTATCAGACTTTTAAAAGTTTCGATTTACTTTTGAATGAAAATTTGGGCTGCAATTTGTTTTCTGTTACCGCCTTCGGTTTATAGGAGGAAGAAAATAATTTCTTCTTGAAAAGGCCACTTTTATGAGCACCTGATGTTTCCTTCATTGATTCATCATCGCCCACTGCTGCCATCTTGTTCGCTAATTTATCTACCCTTTCGGAAATTGTTGGCAAAGGAGTGCTTGAACTTTCTTCGTCCGTCCTAGACGGCTGTGGTTGCGTTGTGGCGACAACATCATAGTAAGGTGAAAGTAGCGAGTCGTCGTAAGGCGCTTCGGGAGATTTTATTATAATTTCTGGAGGCGGTTTCACTCGAAGGATTGCCGAGAGGCTGGAATCGCTGCCAGAGTCATTTGTCTTGCAGTCGGTTCCGTCGCGTTTGACGTCGTCGCCGAATATCAATCGAACGACGTCGACGATTTGTCGATTCAAGTCAGCATCATCCAGGTGAGTGTCGGGTGTTTTGTCGAGAAATTTTGCTTCCGCGTTGAAAATAGTTTCCTCGTCGATGATGTCAACGACCACGGAAGAATCCAGCCTATCGCTGTCCGTGTAGCTGGTGTTGCTGTTTCCGTTTTGTGGGTTTCGACGATGGTGGTTGATGGTGGCAGCAGCGGGTCCAACTTCGTAAGAAGCGAACGGTAACATTTCCAAATCGCTGACGTTGATGCTGAACTCTCTTCCTCTCAGTGTCGTAATATCGTCATTTCTGTTCAATACTGACTCACTTTGACTCCAAGCTCTCTGGGTGATGACTTCTTCCCCCAATGCTGGATGCGTGACCAATGTGGCTTTTGATGACGTAGGTGACGGGTTTTTCACTTTCTTCTCCTTTCTTTCCGGTGTTTGTAGCTCGCTGGAGGAGCTCTTTAAGGGCTACTTTGGTTGAATATTTGTAGTATTGGTCAGCATTGTCGTGGTGGTGGTGGTGGTGGCCATGTTTCTTGCTCTCCCGCCCTGAAATGGCCTCTTGTTTTGTGTTGAACTCTCGCAATTGTTGGCATCGTTCGATCTGAATGACTATGAACCTGCTCGAATGTGGTGATTTTTTTTAGGATGTTATATTTGTTTTTACAGTTTGAGATCTCAGTTTAACATTATGTCTGAATGTTTCTACTGTGTGTTTTGTAAATTAAACAAAAATAGAATTTTAAAATGAAATGATTGCCATCATGAGTGATACAAAACTTGTGCTGTATGTGTGAAAAGATCAAAAGTCCAACAACGTGTACACTACAACACGCATACTACAACTTCTGAAATCACGACAACACACACACACAACAACAACAATACGTACACCTACACAAAGACACGTACACAACGAAATTAACAGTACCCAACATGTACCGTACTGTAAACAACGAACCTGTACGTGAGCAGCATGCAGACCAAGGTATTCTTGCAAGTGAAGAACATGTTCGTATAGCTGAGAACCTTCAACCATCGTTTCAAAGATGTTAATGTCATTGAATATTTTCAATGAATTTTAAGAAAGTAATTTATATCTAATAAATTATAATTATTATTGTAATTGTAACAATTATAGATAGATATTGTCACTTCTTATTTATATTTACATTGTACTTGAATATGAGTAACATGCGCAGGACTAAGAAAGGTCCATCCTGCATAAAGATGGACATGATGATGCCGAAGACGTCGGGAGTGCAGCAATTTTCGGCCGGGACCTCTACGCCAGCCGGCGACTCCTTGCGACCTTTTGTGGCCGTGAAGACAAGCGTGAACTGGAGAACTGACCAGGACCAGATGGCGAGAATTACCGTACACAGGGTTCGATTGTATTTGACCTAGGGTGGTATGGCGGTATGACGAATCATGCCTCGTTGCATCATCTTTCGTTATTTTTATCCATTATTAATAAATTTTAAAATAAGGGAAGTATAATGCTTAACACCGATTGTCAGATGAAACAATTGGCAGAAAAACGTCAAACGTCTTGGAGGCACGATATTTTACAAGATGCAGACGAGTAAGTGACACAAAATTCTGAAGCTGGCTGAGATAAACTACAAAACAATCTCGACTGATCAAATGAGACGATCAATTATTTGATGCTGCATCATTCCGTGGCTCAACGTCGCTCTTCGTTCGGCATTCCAAACAAACAAAAACCTGCTCTTCGTTGAAAGCTTCGAAGAATTCAACGATATCAGCGGCTGTTCCAATGTAGACGAGCAGAAGTTGTGAGAGTTGATCGTGTGTTAGTTTGCCTTTGGGTAGCATCCATCTGTGTATGTGTGCGTGACATGTGTATGTGTATGCATGCGTGTCATGTGTGTGCATTGTGCTGTACGTCTGTGAGGCCGTGTGTTTTATTGCGTTAAGTTTTTACGTATGTCTGTGTGAACAAGCGTGTGTACGTGAGCTTTACAACAATAGTTATGTCAAAAAAAATCCAATTATTTTATATATTATTGGATGAATGATTGAATGAATTAATGAATTACCAAATAAATGAATGAGCGAATTAACTAATTAAAAAAATGAATGAATGAATGAATAAGTTAAAGAATTAGTGAACAAATTAATGAATGCATTAATGAATGAAGAATATTTATCACCGGTATAATAAAATGAATTATTGATATCTGGAGAATGAGCACACGACAACGAACATTAAGCATTTGACGTTGTTGTTACCTTCCGAGTATGAGAATAAGTAAGAGGAGTTGTTCCAGGGTTCGAATCCACTGGTGGGAATTGAACCCCGATGTCCCTATGATGCCCTGGGTGGGTCAAAGGTCATGTATTTATTTATTTATTAACCAGTTTTAAATTATTTTTGGACATGATACCATGTTTCACGATTATGCAAAAAATGTAAGCACTCACAACGGACTCGGGAGCGAACAATTTTTGAAACAAAAAACGCAAGGTTGATTATCTACACACAAGCAGATGTATTTATGAATAATGAACACATCAAAAAATACAAAGATCTCACAAGCACGTTTACACAATATAGACACACATACAAACAAACAACCACACAAAAACACACACGCACAAACGGACACACACATACAAACAAACAAACACACACACAGTCGGCAACTTAACCTCCAACTTATCAGAGAGATCCGGATAGAGATCTTCACTTCCATCCTTCTCAACAACTCTCAGTTCGTACTCAGACTCAACTGTCGTCATCTCGTTCCAAGAACTTGTCGTCCGCGAGGTTTCGTCGCCGCCTGATGAAGTCGTGTTCAGGATGTGCTCGCGTATCCGCTCGTTCAGTTCATGGAGCTCTAAGAACCAAATTGTTGGCACCAGACAGGCAAGGTAGAAGAAGACACTTGGACAGAACCTGCGTGTTTCAGGGTAAGTATGTCTTAAAGACGTATTTCATCAGGTCTATTTTATACATGTACTTTACCATCATCTTCATCCACCTTTTAAATCATCAATTCCATAGCTTGAAAACTAAGACAGCCTACTTACCACTTCCAATCCTCCCCCCTCTTAACGTACAGAGTGAACGCTGTCTCGAAGGCCAGCCCGAAGAGGGCCAGCAGCAGGTACCAGTTTTGTGGATCGTTCGTTATGACGAAGAGTCTCCAAATGGAGAAGACGCCGTGAGCCGTGAAGAGCACTCGGACGGTGATTGCCCTGGAGACTGTGAAGCAACCCATAGCGAAGTGTGTGTAGGGTTGTTGTTGTCGCTTTTGTTGTTGTTGTAAGAGTTGTTGTTGCTGGGGGAGTTGTTGTTGTTGTTGGAGTGGTTGTTAGTGTTGTTGTTGTTGTTGTGGGAGTTGTTGTTGGTGTTATTGTTGTTGTGGGAGTTGTTGTTGGTGTTGTTGTTGTGGTTATTGTAGGAATGGTTGTTGTTGGAGTGATTGTTGGTGGTGGTTTTGTGGTAAAGATGATGGTGACTGTTTCTTGTGTTGTTGTTTGCAAACAAAATATATAAATATAAAAGATGATGATGGTGGGGATGATGCCGGCGCCGGTGGTGATAATGATGGTGAAGAAGACAGTGGCGATGATGATTGTGGAGATGACGATAATGATGATGATGGTGGTGGAGGTGATAGTGATGATGACAAAAACTACTGGCTGAATGACGATAGCTTTGGTGTTGATGATGATGATTGGGAGTTAGAGAATCAGGATGGTAAAAAGTTTTAAGTTTGAAAATAAAATAATAATAATAATATAAATAATAATAATAATAATAATAATAATAATAAATGAGTGAGTTATGGTGATGATGACGACCTTGCTTAGTGAGGAAATGATGATGACGATGGTTATGACGAATTTGAAGACAACGACGAATATGAAAAAGAGAAATATTATTTAGATGACAACTACGGTGATGGTGAAATGTTGTTGGTGCTGTTGTTGTTGTTGGTGCTGTTGTTGTTGTTGCTGTTATTAATGTTGTTGTAGTGTAATTTGATTTTATTAATGTTTTTGACGTTGATGCTAGGAGTTGCTGGAGTGATTTTGATGCTGTTGTCGTTTTGGTTGTTGTGGTTGTTGTTGTTGTTGTGGTTGTTAAATACTTTGTCAAAGTTGTTGTTGTTGATGATGATGTCTTGCCTGATGATGTTGCAAATATGGATAACTTAATCGATGTTGTAGTGGTAGTAGTAGTAGTAATTGTAGTAGCTGTAGTAGTTGTAGCAACTGATGCGACGGTAGAAGTAGTGGTAGCAGTAGTAGCAGTAGTAGTGGTAGTAGCAGTTTTTATTGGTGATATTGAAGCACGTTTGGCTGGTGATGCTGCTAATGTTAATGTTAATTCTCTTATTATTGTTATTTGAGTTATTGTTGTTGAAACTTTTATTAATGTTGTTGTTGTTATTGTTGTTACTGTTGTTGTTGTTAGTGGGGGTGGAACCTTTATTAATGTTGTTGTTTTCGCTATTGGTTCTCTTATTAATGTTGTTGTTGCTGCTATTGGTCTCTTTGTTAATGTTATTTTTACTGATGTTATTTTTGTTGATGTCGTTTTTGTTGATGTAGTTGCAGTCAGCGATAGTGTTGATACTATCCAGGAGTATCCCAAAAAAAAATTATCTGATAACTCAGAAATGATTCCTGGGATAATTATCCGTATCCGCCAATTCGTTGCGATGGTGAGGGTGTTGTGAAATCCGGAATAACGTTGTTTCGCAACGAAATGGTTAATAGTTA